CCATGGTATTTTCCCATGCATTTAAGCAGTCAGGGATCATTAGTAATTAGACAATGTGTTTAAAAAAAACCACTGGTCCTCGATCTGCATGTCTGGGCACATAAGTGTTTTTGACTGTCTGGTCCAGGTTCTCTTGCAGAAGCCCACAGGAATTTAGGAGTTTTGCTATTCTCGTCCCATTATCTGATCTGCCATATAGGGTTCCAGGCAGAGATGACAACTGCAGTCCCTGCTCTTCCTCCTGCATCTAAAGATCACAGCAGAGCATCTAACAAATCAAGGACAAGAAATAAGTCTGCCATCATGCACTACACACTGACCTTTCTAAAACGCAGGTCCAACGCTGCCTTTAGCCAAACTGTAATCAGCATCAATAGCCTGGCCCCAGGCTGAGGTGAAAATGAGTGGTGAACTCACTCTGTACCTCCAGGACCAGATTGGCCTACTTGTAGGTCCAGGCTAAATATAGCTTGGAAGGTCTCTGGACCTGGCAAAGATTGGGTTGTTAGAGAAAAGCAAATAACTTAGATAAGGGAGAGCTTAGCAAACATGCATATTAACTGGAAACAAGATAATGTTGCACTACCTGTTTTATAGCACATTCTTAATTGCTGTAATCGAAGATTCTATAACAGCAAGGCCACAGGTACTGTAGGACCACTATAACCTACTGACCATTCTATTTATGAGCCTGGGTTTCCTCCCACTTTCTTTCCTTGCATGTGGATGGAATATCTCTGTAGTCTAGGCTTATTTTTTATTATGATCTTACAGACTGGAGCACAATGAGCCCTATATCTGGAGTCTCCAGGTGCTGCTGTAATACAGATAACTAAATGACTGATAACCATACAGCCAGATAAATAAAATACACTGACCTGATATGGATTGCTGGATTAGTTAGGTAATTTCCGCTCAGTAGCACTTTCTTACTCCAAGTACTAACCCAGCAAACAAAGCAAGAGTATTCTTTAAATTTTCATTACTGTGTGTTAAATTACTCTTTGATAATTTTTAACAGGAAGCCATTATTAACTATTAAACAGCCACATCTGACATAATTTCAAATTGTGATGTGCTAATCCAGAATTAATGAATTATTGACTGGAAGCCAGACACTTCTTTATAAACCTGGGGCTCTTGAAAAGTGTCCCAGGCTCATAAGCTGTCCCCAAGTGATAGATTTGCATTTAGTTTTCTAACTTCACTGAAATCCATATGGAAACTCTTCTTTCTATTCTTTACTTGACTCACTGCATTTTCAGGCCACACCTGGAATACTGTGCTCAGTTTTGGTCCCTGCTATACAGAAAAAGATGTGGACAGGCTGAAGAGAGTCCAGAGAACAGCCACAAAGATGGTCAAAGGACTGGGCAGCCTGCCATAAGAGGAAAAGCTGAGAGAAGAGGGTTAGTTCAGCCTTGAGAAAAGAAGGCTTTGGAAGACACTATCACCATGTTCCAGTATTTAAACTGTGGCTGCTGAGGTGGAGACTCCCTCGTTACAAGGAGTCACAAAGAAAAGACGACAGGTCACTCCTAGGAAGATTCTGATTAAACACAAAAGAAAAAATTTTCAGGATAACATTCAGCCATAATGATAATCAGCCACTCATTTTTCACAATGTGAAGAATCACCCCCGGGAAGTGGGGGATTCCCCAGTGTTGGACACTTACGAGATTCAGCTGGGCCATCTTGTCTATATCGTGCTTTTGCCAAGAAACGCTGGACCAGGTGATCCTTGAGGTTCCCTTCCAAGAAGGTATTTTATGACTCTGTGATTAATTCCACTGAATTTTGTTTTCAAATGTTTGTTGACTTTTAGTGGCTAATGGTGGTCAGATGGTAACACAAGGGTGGCAATGGGAAAAAAAGATCCTGTGTTGGATTTACATTGGCACTCCTGAAGGCCCAACTGTGTAATTACAGTGTGGCCATGCATGACCACGTGCAATCCCATGGGAAACAGAACAAGGGACAGTTCAGCTTAAAAATACCCCTCCCATGTGTGCTGAGTGCTGCTGGGCACCTCACCCTAGGCACCAAGGTAAGAGGGCAGCAGAGCATGGGAAGGCAGCAAAAACCACTATGGAAAATGTTAGATGCTGCAGCTGAAACTTGGAATATCTATTTGCCAGCTACCAGGTAAATCCCACCTCACCTTAGCACAATGGGATGGGTTTGGGCAGCACTGCCCACCCTGGGGTACCATGAGGGAAGGTCTTCTAGCACAGAAGATTTTCAGAGCTGAAAGCATTGCAGTGGGCTAGGTTTGTAGGGATAGAAAGAGAAAAGGATAAGAGAGAGCTTCCTGTCCTACAAGAGAAGATACATGGAATCACCTAGATCTCCTCCTTGTTTAAATCTAAGTTGGGTATCACTGTGATATGTATTACAGAAATTGCCAAAGGTAAAAGGGGACTGTCTTTTAAATGCTTTACACCTATCAATGTACATTTCTCATTATTTCAAACCTGCAGTAAATAAAGGATAAAACACTACTGCCTGCTTTTATGATCCGTACTTCTTGTTTTTCCTGGCACTCCTCAGAATCTAGCATACATTTCAGCCTTTCTATCACTGTGATATGTATTACAGAAATTGCCAAAGGTAAAAGGGGACTGTCTTTTAAATGCTTTACACCTATCAATGTACATTTCTCATTATTTCAAACCTGCAGTAAATAAAGGATAAAACACTACTGCCTGCTTTTATGATCCGTACTTCTTGTTTTTCCTGGCACTCCTCAGAATCTAGCATACATTTCAGCCTTTCGAAACAAGGCTACTGCCTGCTTTTATGATCCGTACTTGTTTTTCCTGGCACTCCTCAAAATCTAGCATACATTTCAGCCTTTGTTTTAGAAACAAGGCTCTGTTTCTCATGCTTAGAGAAAAAAAGATGAATCGGTTAACTCTGAAGTCAAAGTACAGAAGCCATGCCAAACAAATCCAGCATTTATCTTCATTTCAGAAATCATTTTTATAAGTCTATCCCGTGATTTGGAGAGCTGATCCAGTACTTTCAATGTCCTGGGCTGTCAAGAGTGGTATATGAAGTACACAAGCACGCTAAGCACTAAGCACACCGGACTTCTACGGCAATGTTGCATCTGGTCCAGAGAACAGAGGAAGACTTTTGAAAGAAAATAATAGCAAGACATGGATAGATAAATCCTGTGTGAGTGCTTTGCCTTGCTTCTGTCTTTGACAGCTCATGAGGTAATAAACCTGGCATTTTTTAGATTTTCTAGTTTTTCTATACAAATGAGTGTTCTTTGAAATTCAGGAAAACTCAGGCAATTGAGTGCAACAGCTCAACACAAGCATTTAGCATGAGCTAATTCTCCATTAACTCTTTCTTTCTCCATTAGGGCACATTTGTAATGGTAGTACAAGCAACATGAGCCTCATTTATCATTTGTATCATTACTGATACTGTAATTTACATGGTCATTATATATATAGATACTAAGAATTAGCAAGAATTAGAGATACTGTCTATCATATACCCAAATAACTCCCAATTTTCATTTTAATAGTTACTCAAAGCAGAACTTTATGTGCACTCTATCCCAACAGGTCCTGGCCTGCTGTTGATGAACTCCTCCTAGCTCCAGCAACTTGTGGCCATCTTGGACTCCCCCTGAACATCATCACCTACTGCCGTGGTTGGCAATGGTTTATACCATACTGTGAATCCAGACTGCTCTTAATCCTCACAATTTCATGTATCACTGTGGAACCCATCACCAAGTCTGTAAGTGAAAGTATTGCTGCTGAAAGCTAAATTTGACCACTCCAATGACACCCAAGTGTTTAATGAAAAGAAAAACTACATTATGCTTCACTGAAGACAGTGTGACCCCCAAAGTTGGCCAATCCTGGTAAGCTGGTATCACTTTGCAAATGCATTTATAGAAATCTGACACTTGTTTGTACTGATGCATCTCTCCTGGGGGCAACGGCCATGTGGAAACATTTCAAAAGTGGGAAGGAGATGTAAATGCATTAAACCTTCACGCTGATTCTTTTCCATTTTGGATTTTTTTTAATGTGCTTTATTATGCAGTGTTTAGTCACAGTGTCTAAAGAAAAGAAGTTGTGTGCATCAGAAACCAAAGACCAGTATTTGTGTCATGCACAGTGTGTCCCCTGACTATACTGCAAGATACACATCTGTGAATTAGTATCACTTCAGAACAAGGGCAACATGCTGCCATTATATTATGCTACTTTGAGTAAAAATTTGAGTGTGTCTACATCCTCTATTAGGCTAGCGTGTAAATTTATAGAATTAAAAATTAAGAAAACATAAATCTGAAGATAGCTTTTCTTGTCCCTGTTCTGGGTACCTTCTCATGGTACAAACAGAAACATGAATTACTCCAAATGAGAGAGTCTCAGAGTGCAAGTACCCAAAGGATTGGGGTTTATCAGTGTGCTCTTCTACAAGGACTTAGGCAATGTTAGATGTCTCTTTTCTGGCACAAATAATTGTAGTTTTGTCTAGGTTTATGAGTTACTTTAGTTAGATGTCTCTTTTCTGGCACAAATAGTTGTAGTTTTGTCTAGGTTTGTGAGTTACTTTGGATGCTATTTTCTGCTACTTTGCATATTGTCAAAACAAAGACGTTACATCTGCTTCATTTAAAATTACTAATTGTGGCTTACAGCCAAGCTTCAAACCACTTTGGAGGAGTTAGCAGAATTAAGTAGTGACTTATTCCTTTGTATTTTGAAAATGCCATTAATTTTATTACATTTGTCAATGTAAGCAATAAGTAAGTTTTTAGTATGGTCATTCTGAAAAAATCACCTCTCAGAACACTATTGTCCTAAATTACGCAGTCTGTGATTAATTATTTTAAACAGTTTTGCATAAATCAAGCATCTGGGCTGAGTCTGAGGCCACAATAAATGATGTCTTTATCTTACTTTCCACAGTAATTCCTGTAATAACTGTGACACTATTGCTGTCCACACTACTTCAGACTACAGGGAGGTTATAATTCAGTTTTCATGGTTTAAAACAATGCTTTGTTATACCAATGACATGGTTGGTTGTTTTCATTTAGTATGTTATATTTTGGAATGCACAAATAATTTATTTAAATAAAGGTATATACAAATATGATGGAGGAAAAACTCTACAGAATTCGGTACAATGGCTGCATGCACTGGGAAGGATGCTATGATTCGCTTCATAGGCGTGGAGTATGAAAACTAGGAAAATTTTGAAGGTGAGCTGAAGATCCCATCACCACATCGAAGGGTCTTCAAACCTGAAACACACATTATGAATTAAAAAAACATTTAACACATTTTAAAGCCTCTTCTTTAAAAAATGTATGCAACAACTGCCTAACATTTTCATTTTAATAATAGCAGCAATAAGGAATATATATATATATGCATATTTGCAGTTGAAGATTGTATATGCAACTCCAATGAAAACAGTGGCATCTTGGATGGCCAAAAGTCTACATTTTGGTATCAGAACTTGCCCTTCCATCCTTTGCTGCCCTGGTGCCATGCTTTACATGGCTGAGACTCACTGTAAAGATGCTTCATGCCATCAAATAGCACTTACTGAAATTCAGCTAGAAAATTATGATGTGGTGAAATACAAAATGTTTTTAAGACATATTTTTCACTCTAAATCAGGAGTAAATAATTTCCAAAGAGAACTCAAAGCACCTTCAAACAAAACCCAAGTTCACAGACACCATCCTAAAATATGATGGTGGTATTCCTCTGCTCAATATCAAACATTTGAAATGTACTGAAAGGGGTGTTGAGGGCAGGATATGATCCAGAGGTCCTCTGCTTGCAAACAGCTGTTCTGTCTACACAGAAGGAAAGTCAACGAGTGGGAGAACATGGAGAGAGACCAGGGGAAACACATTTGCTGTAATGTTTCCCATCTAAAAGTTGCACATCTAGTCTTGATTAAAGATCAAGTCTGCCTCCACAGTCACTGGAGAGACACTGGAGAGGGTAATCGAGACATTGCCCATTTGCTCATTTGGAGATACCCATCCCTCTGATTGACTGCAATGGCAGCCTAGCCAAGTACTTCACAATAGATACCTAACTTTAAAGAGGAAGTATTAGGAGAAACATATCCTGTTATTGAGTATCAAACGTTTTCTCATTGCTCCACAAGATTGACAAGATCAGAAAAATGCCACATCACACATTTCTGTCATGAGAAATTATTTGTATTTAGGTGAAGGTTCCTCCTTTTTTTAACCTTTGACGTCCTATTTTGTAACTAGTTTCTGCAAGAATCTCTCTAAACTTTCCTCATATGGTCAGACATACACCTAGACTGCAAAATATTTTAGTCAGCAAAAGCGAAATGTCAAACAAGGCCAATCATGCTGAAAACAATTAAGTTGTTCATTAATATCTCAATGTTTAGTTACAAAGTTCAGTCCCTGAGAACTCATGAAGTATCACTCTCTGAGTGCAAATTACATCTGCTCCGTAACTGGCAGCGTATGCAACCATTTCTAAAACATTTACTTCACTAATTTACATTTGGAATAACTGAATCCTGCCTTTCACTCATTCAGCCTGGCTTCCTCCAGGAGGAAGGCTTAGGCAGCTGTACTGTACCTGGGCATATTTGCTTTGTGTCCACCTGTCCACCCCTGCATGGCTCCCCTAACTTCCCCACCAGCTTCCACACCCTCTGGACAATCTCAACCAAGTCAGGGAGAGGTTCAGAGATTTCAGAGATATTAAATTCCTGGCGTACCATGAAGCACAGGACTGGAGAGAAGGAAGATTTAATTATGTCCTCACATGGAGGAAAAAGCTGGAGTGGGGCTCAGAATCCATACAGGATTTTATCCTAGAAAACATATCCATGAGAAACTAGACATCATTGTTCCCAATACTCCCGTAACTGTCATCAATGAGTGACAAATACCATACTCAGTTTAAAGTGCTGTTACAGGGGGTATGAAATAAAAATCTGCTTCTCATCAATTCTTGATCTTAAATGCAGGCTAGTTGGTTATTTTGCTCATGAATTTTTGCTCCCTGTTGTGTTATAAATAGCATTATTGAGACAATAATAATAACCACCATAAAGTTTTGTTATGAAGAGGTGAAAATTACAGAGTATTAGACTTTGTACTACCTGGTGTGTTGCCTCAAATTCATGGCAGCGGAAATTTCCCATTATGTGAGGGCTCTGCCTTGTCATTACCAAGCACAAAATAGTCCAAAACGTTTCACTGCACTCCATCCAGTTTTTTAGATAAGCATCAGCAGAGAAAACTGCATCCCCACAGCTGCAGTTAGTCATCGAACAGTAAGTCAGTGGTCTCCCTACGTGCAGAACTGCAAGTCTCATGGACAACCTCCCCTGATGGCAGTAGAAATTTGGTCATCTTTCAGTGTCATGATCATGCCTTAAATTCAGTGCTATTATGCTTAAGTACTCAACTAGTCTAACTAAGCCTTTGCACAGCTGCTAAGAGTGCAGAGCACTTGCTTGTAGACCCCTGAGACAACTACTGCATAAAACATTTATTTCTGCAGTAGAAGTATTATCAGCAAACTTCAGACTATCAGTAAAGGCTTAAACTGAGCTCATTCATGCTTGATTATGAGTAAAATGAAAAGAAATATTTTTCTTCATGAGCCAAGACTCCCCCTGCATCTTACTTTTTCAACATACTTACTTTGCAGCCCTGTAAACTGCAGTCATTACTACAGTATCTTATATTATAGCTAAAGTGTCATTACCTAAGTAAATACAGTATGTACATTTGAAATCCCACTGTTGCTTGAAACACTACTGTTACTTTAAACCAAATGCAAATGGAAATATAAAGACCTTTTTTTCCATTTGTAAAATATTAGGTACAAAGCTGATGTGAAATACTGTGTTTTAAAGACAAAGTCATAGCTGTGCATTTATGTATAAGCTAACATATGTGCATATTTACCACCCATACATCTTCAGAGGAAAAACTTATACCTATGTGAGTAGCAAATTACTAGAAGTATGCCATCTTTGGGGCTCTAGTATGTAAGGAACCATCATCAGACATCACCATACAATTCTGTTTAATAAAGCCCAGAATGGGGCAAGTGTTGTGAAAATGCTTCTCTTCCTCCAAATAACAGGTATGGCCCACTCCCAAAATCACAAAACAAGGAGTATGGACTAGATCACATCTGGTAAGGCATTCCTTGCATTCACAGATGGTACTATCTCTTAAAAAAAAGGAATGAAAAATGTTCATTAAGGACATGTTCGGCCAGCTGTTGGTGGCATATGTTTTCTCCTTGTGAAACATATTTATTGATAACAAATGAGACTGTTAAACCTAAATGTGAAGTGAAAGCCACCATGAATCCTCTTCATACATACCTGGACCTAGGAATGTTTTCTGTGCTTTCCCTCCACAAGAGGTCTGAGATCATTGTATCTGGGCTTGATCTCTTTCCATATCTAAGGAAAAATTTTAAAAAGTTATACTTTTGTATATGTCAGTTTTTATAAATGAAAACTAAGCACAGAACCATTAGTCAAGTTTTTCAGAAAAAGAAAAAAAAATAGAGCAGACTTAAAAGCCACTTTCCAGCAAGTATTTTAACTTGACTCAGCCATGTGAGAAAATGTTCATTCTTCAGCAGTACTTTTTTAATTCTATATTTTTCTACATTCTTTCCAGAGTAACTTAACATTATGGTATTTTGAAACTGAGTATTTCTAAATCTGATGGCTGCTCCTGGATACTCTAGGACCTTGCCCCTTTTACTGATGTGAGCATGAAGGAAGAAGCTGTGCACAACGAGACCTCCAAGCATGGCATTCTTTCCTACAAATCCAGTTCCATCATCTCAGTAACTTCCTCATTGGTTTAAATGATGCTATATCCTTCATCAGAAATTATGCAAATGGGGAGTGGAATTTATCTATTAGGTTAATAGAAAACAAAACTCAGTATGCCATATTAGCCAAGGATTCAGACTTTTTAAGATAGCTAGTACATTTGGAGCTGCCCAGCACATAGCACATTAAGTTGTGAAAACTGAGCTACCCCAGTAATCTTGAACTATGTGACTGTGGTTGTCCTATATTCTTACTATTTGCCTTTTTTTAATGTGGTTTTTTTTTTAATCCTGGGTACTGTACATCATCCAACACTGAAAAGTACTTCAATTTCTGTTTCTTGCGAAGGAATTTGATCCTTTTCCTGAGCAAACAGAAGTGACAATGAGCAGTTAACTTGAGAGATATTTCATCACTCTAAGACTTCATTAGCCTTAGAGTGGTAACTATAAAGAAATCCTTCCTTTGTTGGAAAGGATTGAGATCATGGTTTATAATTTGTGTATACAATTAGTGTGAATCTCATAGCACATTAACAGATAACAGCTTTGTAATACCACTTGAGTGAAATTCTGACTCCAGCAAAATCAAAGATGTAATTAAGGACTTACATTTTATCCATTGTGATCAAGATGTTTCTCCAGTAACTCAATCTAATTTGGTGGGAAAAAAACCTAAAACCTTCCCAAGCTACATTAAAACACTAGCAGTTTTACCTGTTGACTCCATAACTTCCTGAAAAGTGGAAACATACCTCACTTTTCAATCATTCTATTCAACTCTGTATTTTTCAATTGCCTCAATCGTTTTAGTGTACCACCTGTGCTCCAAAAAGACAAAGCATCAGTTTCAGAAAGTTAATTTCTTAATCTAAGCTGACTGAAAGTAGGTATCTGGAAAGAACCAGCCAGACACAATAAAAGGCTATTACAACACGCAATCAAGCACTATGTTGAATCAAATACCTAGCACTCCATCACCACAAAGGGATTTCTTTATTTCTAGGTCCTTACTCTGATCAATATGTATGTGACATGGACTTTGGCTTCTAATTTTCTGATACGTTAAAGAAATTGATTTAACAAATCAACCACTTACTCTAACAGCTCACACTTGGACAAAACTCCCACTAATCTCTCAGAAAGTTTGGTCTAAGTAAAAAAGAGGTAACAACCACCTGGAGTGCAGAGATTCACTCAAATAATGAAGACAACTGTGCTGTGGAGATAGTTTTTATATGAGTCCCTTCAGCGTCTTGGCTAGACCAGTGCTGCTACCTGTGCTGGATAGACCTACCATGTTCTCACACAGCAAAGCTGCACACAAGGTGTTCACTGACTGTGACCAACTAGACTGGCCAAAGAATGGCCATTCTTGCTGTGTCAGATGCCTGAGTCTCCTGTCTACCCTGTAATTTTACCCCTGGGAAACAACCATGCTACTGACCTACTAAATAGAAGCCATGGACGAAGTCAGTCTCTTTTTCCTGACACAAATGCCTTGAGAGATCTTTGCTCCAGCTGCTTCATGCTTTGCTCCTTATCTACCTTGCCCAGCTCTGAGCATGCACACAAAGCCAGGCCTTTTATTTTCTGTTTGGGAAACACTTTTATCAAATATCATGGCTGTCTTAAAAGAATAAGGCTCCAAGTCAGGTGAAAATACCTGGTCAGTTTTTATGCCTGTTTTGGGGCATGCTGATAACCCATAGCTCCAGCTGAAGTCAAAGGGATTTGAGAAGTAAATATACTTATTCTGATTAGGGATGTATTATCTCAGACTCAGCAAAATCTCAAAGCTTCCTATGAAACCTTGTGTCTTGGGAGTCAAATCTCATCAGTGTCCAAAGCTGGCAACAGGAGCTGAGGGATCTCAGAACCATCTGTGGGTCTGATTCAGAAAACTGCCAAAAAACCAAAGCTCTGGAGATCTGCTCCCTTCCTCGTTAAAGGGTGTTGACATGAAGTGAGAGCATCAGCACTGCCCAAGTCAGACACACTTTCAGATACTCTCTGCCCTGCCTATAGTTCAAGTAATTTCCAGCAGGACTGTTTAGCTACAGCACAGAAGAGCCACGGGTTCATGAACAAGCTACAGGGGACAAGGAAAGAAGACTGCCTCTTGGCAAGAGGGAGTACAGGTAGTAGCAAGCAGCAGAAGGAGTAGAATGGGCTCTGAAAAAAAGCCCCCTGAACAGTGTGGTAGAGAGGTATGAGGCAAGGACCACAGGACAGTTTGGGAGACAGAGGTGGAACTAATCCGAAGACACACAATCTGCAGAGTAGGAGTTTGCATCTGTGCTGGCCACTTTGGGCTCTCTTTTAAGTCATAAAGACCTGGCACACAAAGAAGGTATTTAATCAGAAACAAGAAGCCTGAAAACAGGCCTGGTGACCTGCACCATCCAAGTACCCTTTTTCCACATCTAACCTCAGAGGGGTATAAAGCTGACAGGCATATATGTCTAAAGCTAAATGAGATGGTTCTGAAGGAGAAAGATCTCAAAGGAGAGAAGGAGTAAAGCAGCCAGCCAGCCAAGGTCTAAAACAAGAAGAGAAAGATGGTCTGGAAGGAAGAAGCTTCATGGGAGCTGGGGTGAAGACCCTGTGGGTCACAGTGGCTCAGAGGCAATTTGCACTCAAATGCTTGCGTCAGGCCAGAAGCAGAAGGCAGGAGGATGAGGCAGGAGATTATTCAGAATCACAAAACCATTAAATGAGACAGGACAGATGAACCTGAAGAGTAAAAAAGCATCGATCTTCTCCTTTGCCAACATGCTCTTACTGCTTCATCTCACCAGCTACAGGCACCAGGTCTGGTAAGGGAGTGAGCACAGCTCCCATCCTCATGAGAAGCAGGGTAAGCTCCTCAACACCTCAACTGCCCTCCACCACAGGGCTCCCAAGCAGTACCATGAACAAAAACAGAGGTAAAAAGCTGTAAGGAGAGAGAAAACTTTGAGCACATCTACTGAAACAGACCAAATAATCATCTTTAGATCAGTCCAAAGTGTTTCAAAAGCTGTTGATTCATTTTGCAAGTTAAGCTTTCCAAGTCAAGGCAGAAATTGCTTTATTTCTGGACTGTTAATTCACCACACAGTGGAAACAGCACACCTTTGCTTGGTTGTTGTTTTGTAGTTAACCTATGTAGTCAACTTTTAAATGTGTATCACAAAGCTGTCATAGTAGTGGGGTTTTTTTCTGCCAACTTTATTGTACTTCCAGATCAATTCTGTTCCTTTAAATATGAGGGTGGATTGGAAATCTGGGTAGAATCTAAAGAACAAAATTTAAATTTTATTCATCAGCCACAATAACTATTTCAGTTCATTTCAGGCCCCAGATCCACACAGAAAAATGAAAGCAGTATCTGTCTCTGAGTTGTGTACTTAGTCATAAAACAGGGAAAAAATCCTACACAGTCAACATTAAAGCAAGCATACAGGGCACACACCAGAAGTGAAGGTTGAATAGAGAATGGAAGGTTCATTTGTTTGGGTTTGGACTTGGATTGTTGGGGTTTTTTTACATATGACCTGGTTTTGGACAGGAACCACCTTTGAAATGGGAGATGAAAGAAAGAAAGAAAGAAGAGATGGGATGAGAGTCTAGCCTGGAGATCCCACCAGACACAAGGCAAAAGGGCAGCAGAAGCAGAATTCGAGGATTAGATTATTTTAGCAGGGATCCTGACAAAGAGTTATCCAAGCACAGAGTATCACACAGAAGCATGCCATACACATGAACAAGTTGCGACTAGTGCTTTAAAAGTTCAGGACTGAAGAACTGTATTTCTATCAGCCTCTTTATCTGTCTTATGCTATTAGTGCACTGGCAGACAATGTTATGGGTTTGCTGGGAAAGCTCTCAGTTACACGATAGCCTCCCTTCTAATTTAATTCTTCAGACTTCTAGAGGGACAAATGAAAGCCTAATTTTAGATCTCTCATCTGGTTTTGATATAAAACAAATAAATAAATGTCAAAGCTTTTCTGGGTCACACACTGTTGTGGGACCTCTGGGGAAACTTCCATCAATCACACAGTCTAACTGGACAGATGGTCCCAAAGAAGATGATTTTTTATAATTTGTCCTTTTTTTCCGACTGAGCCTTTACCCCTACTTTAGCAGGCACAGTCAACCCCAGAAAGCCAGTTCAGAGCCAGGCAGATTTGGGTTCACACTCTTTTCTCTTTCAGATTGAGCTTGAGTTCTTGCTTGCGGTCTTGAGAGAGGTTTTTGTTAGGACTAGTGGGGGTTTTGGCACTCACAGCTGCATGAAGTGGCTGGCAAACCACAAAGCATCTGGACCACTACAACTCCTCAGCAGGCACTTTTTCTCACCAAAATCTTCACTGGAGGCGGTGACAGCAACAGAAGTGGTAAACTGCTCCTACTGCCCGTCTAGCTCTCTCCAGCTCCCAGGTTAGTTATGTTCTCTCTCCCTTTTGCGAGGTTCTCCCTGTGCGTGCTGCCCTGTGGTTCATGCCCCTGTCTGCCAGCCTGTCCGTGCCAGAGCTAGAAAGGGCTGAGACAGCGGAGGCAACATTTGATACCCCTGCCCCATCTGCTAATCTGCATGGTGGAAATTCAGCTCTGGACCCAGAGGTGATTCAGGGGTGCATGGCTGTTTCTCTCTTAAGGGCAGTCTGTGCACCACATCTTTCTCCGTGTCAGTGGGGATAACGGGGCGAGACACCCAGTGTGAAGGAGCACCCCACCTTCCCTCCCAGAGCCTCGCCAAGGGAAAAAATCCGCCCGGGGAGCAGGAAAGTGGGATGTGGGCCGGCTCGTTCTGCCTACCTCTGCCTGGTGATGAGGTTGATGTAGTGCCTCAGCGCCGAGTAGTATCTGGCCATGTCCTCTGCGGGGGCGTCCTCGCCGGGGCTGTCCGGTTTGGAGGGGTAC